GCTTTCTTCCCTGCATCCACCCTTTATGCATTTTATTTATTGGAACATGCCGGGAGCACACCGCTGCTGTTGAGCACAGGCGGCATTGTGTTGACTGGGTTGGGAGAACTTTAGTCACTACCAACAATGACAGTGCCCCACCCACCAGGCAAACCAGGACAGAACTAACGAATGCACAGGTCCCATGTCCGACAGCTGGGAAAGAATGGAAACACCACTCTGCACCCCAGCTGGGAGTACCTCCTTGCTCTCTTATTTTGTGAACCTGCCTCTACAAAGCGAAGGTCATTAAAGACTGGATGCTAGAATAGTCTCTCCCCTGTGCTGTCTTTGTTCTTCAGGGAAGACCAACCTCTTTACTTCACAGTGTTTTATTCTTTTTTAAAAAAAAAAAAATCATCTCTTAGGATGTACATCCTGAAGTCTCCATGATCTGTCTGGGCACAGGAAACCGGCCCAGCGAAGGACAAAGAAGCAACGTAAATTGCTGTTCCATCCTCAGTTATTCTTGAGCAGCATCACAAGGACCCAATATCACAGGTCATTGGGTGTCTATACTCTTTGCATATCAAGGATGTAGACCCCTGGCTGTCAACCAGGGTGATCTTGCACCCAACAAAGAATATTTAGCAATATCTGGAGACATTTTGGTTGTCACAGCTGGAGCAGGGATCAAGATGCTCCTGGTGTCAGTGGGGAGAGACCAGGGACGCTGCTAAACCTCTTAGCATGCACGGGGCAGCCCCAACAACAGAGAGTTACCTGGCCCCAAATGCCAGCGGTGGTGAGGCTGAGAAACCCTGGCATAGGTGAAGCCAGCTCCTATGCTAATCATCCTCCTTTATTATGTCGAGACATGGGAGGCGTCTATTTAGTACGCATAAATTCACGTTAGCAGCAACATATAATCTCCCAGTCGGGAAAGATTCTTTATGACTCTCTTAGCATCCCTAATGCAGGGTTCAGAATCGGTTACAAGTGGAGAACAAATTGCTCCATGTCTACAAATTACACATTTCAATTAAGCTTATGTGAATTGGAGAGGACGCGTGATCACCACCGTTGCTTCCTTAGGTATCAATTTCAGTTGCTCACTGACAAGGCTGAGAGGTTCATGGTCGCCTCAAGTCTTCTCTTTAATGACCTGCGGGGTCAAAACTGACCTATTTACCTAAGAGCTGCAACTTGACTTACAAGAGCATCGATTCAACCGTGGAGTGATTCTGCAAACGCAGTGTGAAGCTGGGTGCCGGGGAAGCAGTCACATGGAAGAAGTTTCTTCCTCAGCGTTCTGAGGTCTCCCGGAGCACCGAGGAACACGGCCATGACAACAGGGATTTTCACAACTGAGGATCCCAATCCTCAATATATTTGGAACGTCCTTGGAATAGTGAAGGGTTCCTGTGCTTGCACTTGGGAATCTCGATCTTTAGTTCAAGAAACCTCCTAGTCAGTCATGAAAAAATAAATCCATGCAACAAATGACATAGGTTTGATATAGGTTTGATATTATCTATTTGGTTTTGCATCAATGCAACACATTTTTATTGGGACTTTATTTTCAGCTAAGCCATATGCCACGGGCTGGGGACACAGCAATGGGCAGAGAGATAGACAGACTTACACGGAACATGCTTATGAGTATTTGTGAAACACATCTGCACATGCATTTCTTCATTTATGTTGGTAATTATTTATTTTTTGTTTTCCAAAATAGGCTTCCAGAATAACATTATGGATATAGGAAACAAAGGTTCTATCTTCTACACCTTGACTTTTGAGTTTCAGTGACTAACTGGACCCTAAAGCAAGGGTTGCTTTTGAGTTCAATTCATTAAGTTGCAGACAAAATCCAGGCTGCCTCTGTTTGCCTACAGATGAGTGTCACTTGTGAAAATGATCCTGCAAAGGAGGCTCGTGCCAAGTTTCTATATAGGTTATTTGTCCCACAAAAACTCCCCAAAAGTCTAAGCTCTCTCCCAATATCATAGCTTTGTCAGAGGCCCATCTTTCTTTTTGCCAAAAAAGCAGGATTAGCAGGTGCTCTTGGAGTGTTGGAGGCGTGCTAACAGAGAACCAAGACTTCTCCTTGTGGAACTGAAGAGCAGAATGATAACGGAGCACGGAGCATGTGAACACTATGCAGCCCCACGATGCTCAGGACGGTTTGCCATTCGCAAAGACAGCTCTGTGCAGGACTAAATTCCAGAGGCGCTACCTTTGCTGGCCAGCTGGATGCTAAGCTCTTCAAAGGTCTCCATGACATTGCCTAGCTGAAGGCAATGCCCACAAACATAGCAAAACGGGAATCAGTGCAGCTTGGAGAACAAACCTGGTGGGGGTTGTTTTGTGCAAGGCACAATGTTCTGTTACTGCTAAAATAGAATCCAGTGCTTACTGAAGTTTTTTTTTTGTTTTTTTTTTTTTGAGACAGAGTCTCACTGTGTTGCCTGGGCTAGAGTGCCATGGCGTCACCCTAGCTCACAGCAACCTCAAACTCCTGGGCTCAAGCGATCCTCCTGCCTCAGCCTCCCGAGTAGCTGGGACTACAAGCATGTGCCACCATGCCCGGCTGATTTTTTCTATATATTTTTAGTTGTCCAATTAATTTCTTTCGATTTTTAGTAGAGATGGGGTCTCGCTCTTGCTCAGGCTGGTTTTGAACTCCTGAGCTCAAACAATCCACCCGCCTCGGCCTCCCAAAGTGCTAGGATTACAGGCGTCAGTCACCGCGCCCGGCCCTGAAGTTTCGATGGATGTTTAAAAACAGCCCTGTTAGTAATATTCAACATGCATAGAGAACTTCAACATGCCAGATGCTATTATAAGCAACTTGCAAACAAATATCAGCCCATGGAATCCCTGCAACCTTATGGAAGCAGCTATTATCTTTATATCCGCTTTAGAGCCTAGGAAACTGAGGCATACGAGAGGTTAGGTAACTTGCCTAAAGTCACACAGGCTGTGAGTGGAAGAGATAAGATTAGCATTGAGGTCAGCTGGTTGCAGGACGGCAGTTCTCCGTACCATGCCTGTCTGCATGATGATACAAACAGGCAACAGCTCCTCATCTCCAATGAGCCAGTCCTGAGCCTCCCAAGGGCAGGCGGCGCACCGTGAGCCTTAGAGCTGGGGACCCTGGCGGCTCGGCTCACACCCACCCCAGGTAGACCGCAGAGCCTGCATTTTCTGACGACGGAAGTTAACAAAGCACAAATGAAAAGACAAGGATGACTCTAAACTTCTCCGACTCCTTAACAACGATATCAGTTCCCTGTCTTTCTGTCTCCAGTTTCAAAGCCAGGGCTGGATGTATTTATTTTACGATTGAATGATCTGAAACTAAGAGGGCAAAGGGACTTACTAAAATACTAGACGCGGATCTCCTAGATCACTACCCTTCCTCATCCACGACGGGAGGAAGCAGACCTGGGTCCTTTTGCCTGAATGTTGACCCTCCTGGTCCTGCATTTCAAGGTTAAGACACTTTCAACAGAGCCACCGATGCACTAACGGCAGCCTACCACGATGTCAGTGAGTCCCCTGCTGATCCCCGAAGGTTTCAGTGCAAATGTGATGGGAATCCCTCGCATGGTGAGCTTCACATCTTGAAAAAGATGTAGGGTTTCATAACGGCCCCTGAAAGGAAGGTCATAAAACTCCTCCCGTCACACTCAGAAACAAATGAAGATCTGCAAAATTAGTCCACATAAAAATTAAAAGAAAAATGATAAAGCTGATGACAAGACCGATACTTCAGAAGACAATTATTTGAATCTGAAGGCCTAAGAAACACTTTGAGAAACCAGTTGAAACCTCTGAACGCTTTTTGTAAAAACAAGACTTTAAAAATGACCATCTTTCTATTCATATTACAAAATGTAAACAAAATTGAAATCTGGTATAACATGCTATTGTTGTATTTTGAAAATATTTTTCCAAGAAGCTCATTCAACATAATTTTTCATTCTAACAGGTTGCAATTATAACCTAAGTCCTTCTTAACTATACTAGGAAAAAAATCCTTATTTTTATAATCTTTATTTTTTAAGCAAATCACAGGCCATTTTTTTTCATTATTTTGACATCCTAGTTCACACATTAAGAGGATTTGCTTCAAATGCCTTTTCCCTCAGGATAAATTATCCTCAGAAAACAGGTGCCCCAGTACCAAATTTTAGAATCATTGTACAGAGTGACGAAGCAGCCCTGTTACAACTTTGGTGCTACTTGCAGAAACAGCAAAGGTGAAGGTAGGTGGATTATTACCTTGTTGTTTTAATTTGAGTGTTTTTTTGTTTGTTTGCTTGTTTTATGAGGTGGAATACCTCTGCTAAGGAGTTTTCTGTTGGACATGTTCTTTTAAGCATTGCTAAGCTGTACTCACGAATGTAGGCTTTCCCAGATACTAAGTTGCAACATTTAACCTCTCCCAATTAAAAAAAAATGTACTATGAACACCATCCGAGCAACAGACACTTTTAACCCTGACTCGAGCATTACAAAAGCCATCCATATAACCAAAAACTTTTGTATCCCCATAACACTTCGAAATTAAAAAAAAATGTATTATCCTTGGTTCTTTTCATATATGTACCCACAGTGAGATATCATAACTCCTGTGCCTTTTCTTGGGCTCCCTGCACAGACTTTCAATCGCGCAGCCCATGCTGGCAATCTGCAAAGGAATCCTGAGCAAAGGACAAATCACGACTCTCTTTCAAACGGGATGAGTCAAGGTCAAAGAGGCTGATGACTTTGGCCTCGCTCCTCTTGGATATAGTTTCTGCTCTCCCTCCGCCCCCTGCTCCCCCACAGCACACGGTGCAAGGGCAGCGGCTGAGCCCATGTGGCAGGTGCACAATTTGGCTCCCGCTGTCAGCCTCAAGGGTCCCCGAAGGTAGTGGAAACCGACTCTTCCCGCACATCCGCCAAGCCCGGAGCCCAGTCTCACACCAGGCGTGCCAAAGACGGCCAGAGGGGCCAGGCTGGGCACCTACCTCAAGATGAAGAGGTCCACGGTGGAATTACTGGAGATGGTGACATAGGCAGTGACCACGTCCCCCTGTCTGACCGGCCGGGAAGGCAGCCAGATGACGACGTTGCCATCCAGACGCAACTCGCTGAGCTGGGCGCTGTCCTGGGCCCGGAAGAGGCTGACGGTGCCGATCCTCTGCAGGCGGGACGTGGTGTCCCCCAGCCCATCCTTTCCTGGGCGGATGGCGTTGCCCTTCCTGAAGTCACCCCCGGCACAATCCCCTCGCTCGGTCCCCGGCTGCACGGTGTAATACAGCTCCACCAGGCTCCCCTCCGGCTGGTCCACCGACTTCTTCCTCCCGGGCCCCGCCGTGGGGGGACTGAACCAGCCGGGCAGCAGCTCCAGCTCGGCCATGCACAGCCCCAGCTCCCCCTGCAGCCGGCAGCCGCCCCTCACCTCTCTGGTCTCCCGGAAGGCGAAGACCCCGAGACACGGCAGCTTCTCCCCGGCGCTGTGGTCGCCCCAGTCTCTGCCCACGATGTAGAACAGGACCTGCACCTTGGGCCGGCTCAGGTAGACCTTCTCCCGCAGGATGTAGGCTTTCAGTTTCCAGTCAAAACCAAACTTGCCGGATGCACCTAAAACGCTCGAGGGCAACATCAAGTCCAGAGGCACGACCTTTTCCACGGAGAAAGGCCCATAGCTGGCGTTCACCGCCGGGGGCTGCTTGGCTCGGTACGTGAAGAAGGACTCAACGCGGGTCTGCAGGCTGGAGTTGCGCAGCAGGTCCTGGGTGGCGTCCTTTAGGAAGAAGGACGTCTCTGCTCGGAGGATGTGGTAGCTCACCGGGAGGTAAGGCGGCAGCGAGGAGAACCTCTGGATGTTGTCGGTGACCCCACGACCCTCTATCACTAGAGGGGAAAGGAGAGAAAAGAAAAAGTCGGAATGATTAAGGAGCTCCTCAGAAGTCGTCTGAAGCCCACTTGGCTAGAATTGTTAAATCCCTCCTGGAATCAGCCGCAAATGGCTCTCCACGGTCCAGATGCTGGGCATGTCCTTCTATTAGGTCGGAACAAATGAAACGGAGCATTTTTGTAGAGTAAGAATTATAGCATGGTGGCAGCTGCATAGAGTTTGACCTAACAGAATGCTGCTAAATTGCCTATAAGAGTAAAGTGGGTATTTTTATTAATAATTTCCATGAGCTTTCAAATGTATTTAATGACACTGGTACATGAAGAGAAAAATAGACTCGCAGAATAGAAAAAAAAGTACATAAATAAACCCAAGAACACATGGAAGTTTAGTATGTGATAAAGGAGGCATCTCCAATCCTGAGGCAAAGAGAGACTTTTTAATAAATGGTGCTGGGACAACTGTTAGCTATTTGGGAAAAGAAAGATAAAATTAGATCCGTACCTCACACCATACATAAGAATAAACTTCAAACGGTTCAGTGACCTAAATCTAAGAAGATTAAATCTTCTAAGTACTAAAGAAAACGTGGATGAATTCCTCTATAACCTGGGCATAGGAAGAACTTTCTAATTATGACTCAAATCCAAATATAACTTTTTAAAAATAATAATACATTTGCCTATGTGATTTTTTAAAAATATTTGCATTACAAAAACATAAACAAAGTCGAAAGAGAAATGACAAGCTGTGAGTAAACATTTGTGATGTGTGCATCACAGATAAAGGGCTAATGTCCTTAATATGAAGAAATTTTGAAATTTGAGGAAAAAGACTAAAAAATTTGAGAGAGAAATGAGTAAAGAGCACAGACAAGTCACCAAAATATATTAAAATCACTCTTACAAATATTTAAATCTATCAAACCACATTCACTATTATAGAGATACAAATTAAAACTACCAACAAACACCATTTCTCACCCCACCCCCAGACTGGCGAAAATTACAAAGTCTAGCAGCACGCCGTCAGCCAGACCGCAGATGCCAGGCACTCCGGCATACCGTGGCAGAGCCTGGAAAGAGCAACCCTCTTCTGGAAGGGCATTTGACAATCTCTAACAAAATTGCATTTGCATTTTCATCTGACTGTATGATCACGCTTTAAAAAATACACCCTGAAGGTACACCTCTGGCAAGTCAAAAATGCATCTGCACAGATCGTTCATGGCAGCACCAGTTTCCATTGCAAAGTTATTTGACACGACCCACATACACTCATGCAGGGAAAGGGCTGAGTAAACTGCAGTACTTCCGTGCAATGGAGCATGGCGAGCTGGAAAGCAAACAAACGAAGATCTGCATGAACCAATATGGAGCGATTCCCAGATTATACTATTAAGAGAAAAAACAAGTTTCAGAAGGACATCGAAAGTATGCCACCTCCTGGGTAAGAAAGAAGGGGAGATGAGAAAATATACATGTGTCTGCTCGTGCATATGACACACACACACACACACATATACACACACACACATACACAGGAAATGCAACCGGAATCCACAGGATTGGTTATGGACGGGACGGAAAGGAAGGGCCGAGGGCAGGGAGGCAGACGGGGCGAGTGCAGCTTTCTATATAGTCCTGACTTTTGGGATCAAGTCACCGCTTCACACATGATAATGATAACGCCAACAAGGATCAGCAAAAACCCTAAACTGATTACAGATGGAAACAAATCAACACGACTCTATTTCGAGTGAATATCAAAACCACACCCACCGAAGGAGGGAGGGCAAAATCTCAAGTGTCCGAGTCACTCTGGACACATATTTTGACTCTATACCCTGAGGCTAAAGACACAAATAAAAGAATCGTAAACAAATATGGACCTGTGGTTAGTAAGTTTGCTTTGGACGGGAGCATGGATGAGCAGTTCTGAAACTCCTCTCCGAGTAGCACAGCATTACGCAAAGGAGAAGTGTATCATGAACCCGGGAGGTGGGTTTGTCTCTGTCAGAGGGGGGGTTGCAAACGCAGAAAGGGAGAAGGTCAGCGTGAAACCTGCGGTGGGTGAAAATGGGATTGGAGATGCAGGTGTGAGCTCAGGGTGTTTAATATATGTGCAGATAGAGAAGTAGATGCAGACTGTGTGTACATGTATGCACGTGTACATGCATGCATGTGTGCATGTATACACGTGTACATGTTTCCCAGCTCTGTCCACTGAGAAGGCCTAAAAGCAATGACATCAGACAGCAACGAGCACATCCGGCACCCGGATATTGGTGTCTAAATCCCATTCTCCACTGAAAAGAACCAAGGCTTCTTGGAGGATTCTCTGATTCCCAGGACAAGAAGAACATGGAACATCTTACAGTGTTAGAAAACGAGGAAGTCCCCTTTAGAATGATGACAACACATCCAAAGCATGTGCCCTCTGGAGGCACCTGGTCCTTTTCCCGCAAGGGACACCGGCCAGGAGATCAAGGCTGCCTCCTGTGCCACGGCCCGGCGGAAGGACTTGGGTTGTCAAGATGGCTTTTCAAAGAAGTCACATTCCTTCCTGTCCTTGGCCCGAGGCCTTGCTTTGGGGTCACCAGTAAGAAGGTCACACTTGCCTCTCTCTCTTCAGGGAGGACTCAACTCAGCACTTCTGCTTTAAGCCCCCGATTCCAGAACCAGTTTAAAACACGCTCAGGAGGCCCTGCCAAGGCACAGCATTCCAGAAGGAGTTCCGGCTCTCTGTCCTTGAAATAATCATCAACTATTTAAGCAACTTGTAATATGTTGTAAAAACCAACAGACTAATTGGCCCATTGGATGCTTTTATTCCTGAGGTATTCATCCCTGTCCAAAAAAGCTCTTAAAGCTTAGAGCGCAGAGAGTGAGCGACTCGTGGGAGGAGCCCAGGACTCTGCAGGGGCCATGCACCGGATCCGGAGCCACGCGTGTCTGGCTGCGGGCCACGGCAGGAAGCGTCTGTCAACAAGCTTTCTCGTCGTCCCTCACTCTTCCTGCACGAAAGCATTCCTTTTTTCTCCTTTTTTTTTTTTTAACTGAAAAAGTCTAAAAGATAAATTCTTTGCTTTTAAGCAAATGCTGAGCTCATTTTCTATAAAATAAAGACGGAGCGGGCACGCCGTCTCCTCTCGTAGGGTTCTTCCGTTCCTGGAGCAGGTTGCTCTTTCTCCTTCATGGGGAGAAAACAGTGAGTGGCACACCCCTTCCTGTCAAGCCTCATTCTGCATTCCGCCAGTCCCTGAGAGGTTCCACTGGAGCCAAGAAGCGACGGAGCCCATGAAGAAAGGAGTGGGGTCCAGGACAGCAGCTAAGGGCGTGAGGTTTGGCCACAGAGAGAGCCAGGGCTGACGGCCTCACCAGCCGTGTGATGTGATCTTGGGCAAGTTCTTACCTTCATGGAGCTTCAGCTTCCACGGACAGCTGGATGATAGACAGATACACGGGTAGAGACAGACGGGTAGATAATCTAGGTAGACAGGAGAGCAACGGGAACTGTCGTAGGGCGATTGCCGAGGGGCCCTCATGCTCCTCCTAGTCTACACCCTCTGCACGCAACTCTGCATTCTCCCTTCCAGAGGCGGAGTCAGCTGCCCCCCAGCCCTCAAATCTGGGCTGCCCTGTGATAAGCCGGGGCCCACACAATGCGGAAGAAGGGGCAGGCAGCACGCCGACGAAAGCCCAGGTCTCGAGAGGCATCGCACACGTGCACGCTCTCTGCTGGACTTTCACGACGTTAGCCAGATATTCATGCACTGAGTCACGCAGTTCATTAATAACTGATGTCTTTATTGATTAGAGCTGCAATGAATAACGTACTCACATCAATGAATTAATAATTTTGTTTAAATAATCCTGCTATAAATAAAACACCAAGCTCACACCCTCCAATTGCACCTGCCTACAGCTCCGAGCCTTACATTGGCCATTTCTTTGTTAAGTGGGGAGATTATCGAGTGGTGGCCGCCGAAGATCGAGTGACAGCAAAATGAGATTTTTCCTCTTAGAGCAATTCCAGCAGGAGTGAGAAGGGAATCACTGTCTCATCTGTGAGAGTCAGGCAATTTCACACTCTGTCCACGGACCTCCAACAGCCGTCCACGGAGACGCTCATGGAACGGCCCCTCCAGAGCTGCGCAGGGCCCATCGGCAGGCTCACACGCCGTGACACCGTGTATGTCACCGAAACCCATCTCACTCACTCAACTCAGCCCAGATCTAGCAGATTAAGGAAGGAGAGGTGACTGCCAGCTTTTGTTGTGTGTTTTCTTTCCGGAAACGTTATCTCCTGATTGCAAGGAAACAATCCCAAGGCGTTGTGAGCTCTGACAAATACCCTTCCATCCTTCCTCTCACTCGGGTTCATCTGTTCACACCAACGTCTCCCAGAAAGATAGGACAATTGAGTCATTTGTATTGATCTTAAACGGTACCTCTGGAAATCCCAGTGCTGGTTTCCTAGGCCGTGGGGGGGAGGACGGGGGAGCAGGTGACTGCCACACCTGTCTGTCTGGCCTCCACGCTGACAGCACGTTCATCTGCCGTCTCCCTTCCTGTTTATCCATTTTGTTTATCTGCTCCCGCCGGCCGGTGTTGGGGATATTGTGTCCCCCATCAGACGTTCATCGGAGAGCTCCACCACCAAACCACTGCCGGAAATTGAGTTTTTGAGATGCCGAGATAGTGGACCCAGGAGATGGCCACGTCACTCAGTGGCCAGACAGGAAAATGCTGGGGGCAAACGACACTTCCGGCTAACGTGATGCGCCACCTTGATCGGGATGCCCGCTTTCAGACGCGCCGACTGACCAGGGATGGGTTCTTTAGGGTTGACGTTCTCTGGGCTGGGACGCAAGGGACGGGTAGGACTTGGGGAGGTGGGATGCAATAGGGTGAGGATTCCCGGGATGGGCTCGGCCAAGACGCAGGACTGGCAGAGGGAAATCCCAGGACTGGGGTATGTGAGGAGAGAGCAGTCGGTCCAGGCAGGTGGGATGGGGCCAGGATTTGCTCTGAGTCGGGATAGGGAGTGGTAAAAATACTAGGTCCCGCTTTCCTCATCGACTGGATAAAATAAAAATAAAATCCCCTGGAAGAGTCCAGACGCACACGTGGAATTGTTTTAGAGCACGCAAAGGACTTTCAAAAATAGCGTCTAAGTCAGTGGTTCTCAACCAATGGTGATTTTTTTCCCCCAGGAGACAATTGGTGAGGTCTGCAGACGTTTTCGGTGGTCTCAGCTGGGAGGGGGCTGCTACCGGCATCTAGCAGGTGGAAGCCGGGGATGGTTCTAGACACCTTCCAATGCACGGGACAGCACCCCCACCACAGAGAATTATCCAGCCTACGACGTCAGCAGTGCCAAAGTTGAGAAGCCCTGATCTAACTTGATCCACACAGAAAGTCAGTGGTTTGTCGGATCTCACATAAGTAGGAAGAAACAGAGGAAGGATTTTAACCAAAGCCTTCTCCAGCCCAGAAAGAAGAAATGTACCACAGCGCTTAAGAACATTCCTGGAGTCAGACAAAACGCAACAACGAATCCTTGAATCCTACCCCACGACTTCCTCCATAAGGATATTTTTTTCAAATACCTCAAACTTTTGAGCCTCAGAACCCTCATCTCTGCAATAGAAACCACATAAAACCACCTCACTTAAAGCCATAAGCAAAGGACGCAACACACGTAACAACTGGGAGATGCGGATGTCACTATTATTATTATTAACATTATTTCAACTATGTTGATAAGTTATACTAAAAAGCTTTCACGGCTATAGAAATGTGAAAAAAACGGGTGATCTTCGTACGTGAAAAAAAAAATTGGACGACTTCCATGTGAGGAAAAAAAGATCTGAAATCAAGGCAGGCAGACTCTTTTCATGACTTCGGTTGCACATTCTGCATCAAACATCTCCGGTTTACTCCTATGATGCCAGACACCTGCAAAACAGAACTTGCCTTTCTCCATATGCTGCAAGGAGAGCCCTGATTGGATTTTCCTCCCAAGTCACTGCAGCTGACTGGAAACACAAGCCAGCCTGAATATTTTTTTTTCCTCTCTCCATTTGTGATTTATTAACATTCCCCAGACACAGAATGTCTCTCCACGCTAAATATGGCCTGTTGTTTCTTTTCTCTTGAAACAAAAGGCACCTTGATAAATGGATTATTTGATTTCAATGCATCTCCTGAACAAACCCCGAATATCCTTCGGTGAAATTACAGAGTGCGGTTTGCAATTTCATAACAGTAAAACTCTCCTTTAAAAGAGCAGGTACTTGCATTCTCCTCGGAGCCCCTGGGGGGGTATTTTCCCCCCTTTTCCCCGGGAGAACTCTATAATCACTCTCAGGTGCTACTCAGACAGGCCCCTAGAAGTCGAGCAAAGGATTTGTGCCTTTCAGAGACAAATGGTCGTAAACATTCAGAATCTTAGACTCTATCAACAGGAGAACGGTGCCCTAAGTAGGCACAGAGGGAAATACTTACCAGGCAACGTTATAAATCTAAAATGGGATGTTTTAACTACATGGCGTTAGTATTTCCTGAAGTTGAGCTTGGCAATTTGCCCATGTCGTGGCCACCGGGCCGATTCCTCCATATCTGCCCTGCCCTCCCCTGCCGGACACTCGTGACACCGTGTAGACCCTGGTCCATCCACAAGTGGGTTCTGATTGGCTGCAGCCTCAGACTCCTGGGCTTAAGCGATCCTCCTGCCTCAGCCTCCCCAGACACTGGGATTACAGGTGGGCAAACTCTTTCTTAAAGGGCCGTGGAGTAAATATCCTAGGCTTTTGCAGGCTAGGAGACAAAACCAATATTATATAAGTACTTATGTAACCATTTAAAAATGTAAACACCATTCTTAGCTTATAGGCCACATAAACAGGTGACGGGCTAGATTTGGCCCATGGTTTGTACTTTGCCAATTTCTGGTCTAAATAAAATAGAGTAATTCCAAACCTGTTTCCAGTAACTGGTTTCATTATGCATAGGCCTAAATTTGTAGTGCTCAAACAGAGGCAATTTTGCTACCCAGGAGACATTTGCAAATGTCTGAAGACATTGTGATTGTCAGGACTGGGGTGGAGGGGGTTCCCCTGGCCTCTTGTGAACAGAGGCCAGGGATGTAGCTCCCCACCTTCCAAAGCACAGGGAGGCCCCATGACATGGAATTATCTGGCCCCGAAGATCAACATGTTGAGGTCGGGAAGCCCTGCCCTAGGCC